GACCTCAGTATGGTGGTTGTTGTTCAGTCGCACAGTTAAGTCTGACTCTTCGCGACCCCATGGACCAGATCACGCCAGGTACGTATGGTACGATGCCATAGAGTCCACCCTCCAAAGTGGCCATATTCTCCAGCAGTACTGATTTCTGTAATTTGGAAATCAGTTGTAAAAGTGGGAGATTCCCAGGCCCCACCTGGAGGTTGGCAACCCTAATTTTGCCTCCAGGGAATTCCTAGCTCATCACTATGTAGAGGTCATTTTTTCTCTTCCTCCTCAGTTTCTTAGGGATAGGAAATTTGGGCTGGGGGGTTGAGTAAATGGAATGCCTATTCCAGGCCCAATACAAAGTGTTAGTATTGACCTTTAAAGCCCTGTATAGTTCGGAACTAGTGTATCTTAAGGACTGCCTACTCCAATATGAACATAGTGGAACATTATGGTAATCTTCAGGGCCTTGTTTTGGGTTAGAGTTGCTAACATCCAGGAGGGGTCTGGGTTACAACTGATCTCCAGAAGACATAAATCAGTTTCCCTGGAGAAAATGGCTGTTGTGGCAGTGGACTTTATGGCATTATACCCTGCTGAGGTCCCTGTCTTCCCCAGGCTCCATTCCCAAATCCCCAGGAGTTTTCCTAACCTGGGTCTGGCAACCCTACCACACTGGTGGCCAGGGGACATCTAGCAACCCTAGGCCCAGGTCATCTAGGAAGCTGTTTGGCAATGCCTGATTGATTCTCCTTCTTGTTTATATTTTTATTTGTTGTTTTATAAATGAGTTGATTTTTTTTAAATCCCCGGAGGGATATTTTTTTATTATTTTGCAAATACTACAAAAACGACAAAGAAATATTAGGGAAGGGACTACAACTAAGGATAAAGGAAAGCAAACCACACTAAACTAAAACCCCAAGAGGAGGAGATCTTTTCACTGTTAGTAAAAATGTTAGTACAATTAGTTTTAGTATCACAATATACTTGTAGAGTTCTTGCTTATAACAATTCGCTATTTATATGTTGTTTTGTTAGTTGTTATGAGAGAAGTCTCTGATCATCTTCTTATTCTTCGCTTCAAAAGGCCATTTTCCAAGTCCTTCTGCCTTTACTTCGGCTTTCTGTCTCTAAAATCGTATACCACTCTGGCTGGTCCTGCACCCTTTTCTGCCGCAGAATCCTCTTCCGTTCCCGAGGTAGCAGTCTCACTATCTGAAGCTGCAAAACTCGATTCTCTTGGCAATTCTGCTTCATTTCCACCTCTCCCATCCTTTTCTTCAACTTCTTACTTGTGGCTTCAATCTCTTTAATTTTCTCATTTGCCTGCTCCACTTTTTTCTCTGTCTCGTTCAGCTGAAGCTGCTGTGCTGCAAAGTTTTTATTCATCATAGTCAATTGCTGGTTAATACCATCGAGTTGTTCCATCACCGGCTTGAGCATATCCACCAGGAGTTTGAGGACATCTGCTCCCTCTTCTGGTCTTGGACTCTGCCCGCCCAGCTTTGTTTTAAACTTTCTCAGCTGGGCCACCATCTTTCCTGTTTTGTTTATAGTTTCTGCCACTCCCCCACAACTCGGAAAACTCGCCAACCGACTTCGCAATTCAGATAAGTCTCTCAAAACACGGTTTACTTCCTCCCCTCTCCCCCTTTGCATCTTAACCGCTCATTCGCAAAAGAGACATCCCTCTTTGCAATCTCCGTTTCCAATCGCGGGGGGAGGATCGCTTTTCAAACCACTCCGTTTTTATTCAGAACTCACGTTCATTGTTGGCCAGTTTATCTGACCACGCTCGGTTTTACGCCATTCCGCTCGATCTCCGGCGCTTGTCCCGGTCACTCCAGTTTATGCCCGAAGGCCACTCAGCAACTGGACCGTTGGGGCGGAGGGGAGCCTCAATTATCCGGCATTACGCCATCAAAGAGGCTATCCCTCAAAAGCCCCCTGGCCTGGAGCCTATCACAAAGGCTCCGCGGGGGTGTCACTTGAGGTGGCACCCCTCCAGGCCGCCGGTGTGCGAACCGCCCTTCCCCGTTGTGGGAAGAGCATCCGCCATCGCTGTTCCATAGACTGGAAGTCCAAATAAGTTGATTTTTAATGTTTTTAACTGTTCACCACTTAAGAACGTAAGAACATAAGCCATGTTGGATCAGGCCAGTCGCCCATCCAGTCCAACACTTTGTGTCACACAGTGGCCAAAACTTAGGGGCCATCAGGAGGTCCACCAGTGGGTCCAGAACTCCAGAAGCCCTCCCACTGTTGCCCCCCAAGCACCAAGAATACAGAGCATCACTGCCCCAGGCAGAGTGTTCCATCTATACTTTGTGGATAAGAGCCATTGATGGACCTCTGCTCCATATATTTATCTAACCCCCTCTTGAAGTGGTCTATGCTTATAGCTGCCACCGCTATAAGCATAGTGAAGCCCACATGTTAATTACTCTTTGGGTGAAGAAATCCTTTTATCTGTTCTAAGCCTACTGCTCATTAATTTCATTGAGTGCCCATGAGTTCTTGTATTGTGAAAAAGGGAGAAAAACCGTTCTTTCTCTGCCTTATCTATCCCATACATAATTTTGTAAGCCTCTATCATGTCGCCCCTCAATCGTCGTTTCTCCTGGCCTCTTTAACCTTTCTTCATAGGGAAAGCGTTCCATCCCCTTAATCATTTTATTTGCCCTTTTCTGCACTTTTTCCAATGCTATCATATATTTTTTTGAGGTGCAGTGACCAGAACTGTACCCAATATTCCAAATAGCAATAGCATTTTGAGAACCCAGATTGGGTACAAAGGCAGCACAAACATATAAATAAGCATATGTAAATTTGCCCAATAATGTTAAAGTTGAAATGTAGCAAAGTTTTTTTTTTAAATTTAGAGACCCCTCACTGTCTTTGGCCCTAACTTTAGTTTACTTTGTGAATAAATTAAGGTCTGAGCACACACAAAGAGACCTCCATGGGCCCTTAAATATTAACTGAAGTCTCTAATCCCACAGGATTAATTCACTGCAGCACTATCATGGCATGAGATGACTAAGCGTGATGGAACTTTGCAGCTTGATCCCCTTTACCCAGAACTAAATTGCATTGAGTTTAATGGAATTTACTGCCAGATAAGTGTCCATAGGCATGCAGCCTTACTGGTTTTGAAGCACTGCTGTTCCCTTCCTTGTCAGTGTGGATAAGAAAGAAGGCATATATGCACCTGGAGTGTAATGAGATGCACTTTACATGCAAAAGGTTCCTGGTTCAATCCCTGACATCTCAGCTAGTGGGGCTATGAAAAGCCTCTCCCCGAGGAAAATCTTGAGCGCCACTGTCAGTCAAGATTTGGCACTCCTGGGTTAGCTAGACCACTGGCAGGACTTATTACAAGGCAGCTTCATATGTTTGCTTTGGGCGTGCTTACCTGCGATCACCTAGCACAAATAAGTTACACAGGCAAATGTTAATGCAATGTATTTTGATTTCCGCAGATCAGCATGACTACACAGTGAAAGGAGCTCTGTGCTCCAAAGTCCTGAAGGGGTGGCCGTGTTAATCTGTTGTTGCAGCAAAACCAACAGAGACTTGTGGCACCGTAAAGAGTAACAGATTGACTGCAGCATAAACTTCCATGGAGTCTGCTATTTACATTAAACATGAACCGTTGGTGCAAGGAGATGCTGTGTTGGTAGAGCAGAAGGTCCTAGGTTCATTCTCAATGGAAAAAAATCTCATGTAGATGGTTTTGGGAAAGATCTTTTCCCTGCCTAAGACTGTGGAGGGTTAACTGTCCAGTCAGATGTGTCTGAGGAACGGGCACCACCAAAATCTGACAAGCACAGTGCACGTTTACTCATAAGTGAAAGACAAGAGAGCATAATGGCATTTACTCCCAAGTAAGCGCACGTCAGATTGTAGCCTTTAAGGTGCTACAAGACTGTCTTGTTTCTGACACATTTTTATATTACTTTTCCTCCAAGGCTCTCAGGGCAGCACACCTGGAGTCTTCCCTCTCTTTCACTTGATCCTCACATCAGCCCTGCGAGGGAGAATGAGCTGAGAATGAATGACTGGCCTAGTATGCTGAGTGGCAACATGAACCCAGGTCTCCCCATTCTTCACACAACTGAGGCATGCATCTTTGCATGCTCTAGAATGACATATCAGCACACTTCTAATTTATTCCACCACTACTTGACTTCTTAGAATTCACAGAATACTTTCAATGTGCTAGACATTTTCCAGAGCTACCTAAATTAAAAAAAAACAACAACACAAAACCCAACAAGGGTGGGTCTCTGATATAGTTGCCAACTGCCTGAAGAAAAGATGTCCCCGCCCAATAAAGGTTTGATGAAATGTCCTTTACCATTTACGTCCACACTAGGAAAAGCGTCACCTGCCTATTAAGCCTGTTTTAAAAGGATATGACATTTTTCTCCAGGCTTGTTGCATCTTCAGACCCAAGAAGAAGCTTATAGTAGATTGTGTCATTGAAGGGAAGAGCATAGGCGGGTTGGTAGGTACACTGGAGGCAACTACTGTAACATCAACGTTGTAAATACTGCTTTCATGTGCCAGAAAGAGTAGCAAGCCAAACCTCCAGCAATGGGGCAAAGGATAAGACGAGGGCGGGTGGGGGGGGGGGGGGGGGGGGGTCCGCGCTCAAAAATCACGTGACTCCGTGCGGCAGGACCAGATCCCCGCTCCCGCAGCGGACGAACACGCAAGTGTTTTTTCCCAACCTTCTTCAGCAGTAGCTTGAGGGGGGGGAAAACCGAGAGAGAGATGCTAGCCCAGCCCTCTCTCTCTCAAATCTCCTTGCGAAGGAGACGAAGGGTGAATCGGTGCGTGGGAAACATCTGAAGAGCAGAGTTCTGAGAATTAAAAACAAACAAACAAAAAACAACCACTTGGGCAGGGACTATTTGCTAGAGGACCCTGCCTCCTTTTTTTAATCCCCGTCTGAGGGGCGGAGTGATCTCCACCGTAGAGTGATGGGGTCCGGGAGATGAGACAGAAAAGGGAGCCGGCGCCGGTGGAGCAGAAGCCCTGAGAGTGGCAGAGGGGGAAACCTCCGCGCTTGCGCAGTCGCGGCTCTGCCTGCCAACCACCACCCCCTCCCGTTGCGCGTGTGTGTGAGGGGGGCACAGCAGTGGCTCCTTTTCTGCTGCCAGCCCCTCAGCGCTCCCCCCCTTACCCTTAACACCCACCCGTGGTGGCCCCTTTTCCTCTCTTTGTGCCCCTCACCCAAGGAGAGGGCTCCTCTCTCTCAACCATGGCTCAAATACTCCCTATAAGATTCCAGGAGCATTTTCAGGTGAGCAACTGCTGGGGGGGGGAGGGGCTCTGGAGGGGGGGGGTTCTGGCGGAAAACTGTGTGTGTGTGTGGGGGGGGGGGGCCCCCTTTGTGGTATCTCCCCTCCACCTTTCAACGTTGAGTGGTGAATGGGTTGGGGAAAGCGGCTGCGGCCTACTGTGGGGAGGGGTTGGCTTCCCCCCCACTTGAGGGGAAGGGACGTGTCTGTGTGTGTCCAGGGGCGTAAGCCCCCCCCCCAAACCCCCCCCCGCGAAGGGCAGCGGGGACAGCGAGGGAAGGGAGATGGGGGGTTAAAAGGAGGAAGGGTTGAGAGAGAGAGAGAGAGAAGCTCCCTTTTCTGTATGTGTATTTGGGGACGGCTCCCCTCTGATTTTATTGTTTGGAGGAGGTTTTTCTTCTGTTTCTAATTCTCAGGAATGAAGGGACAAAATCTGGCTTTTCATTAAACACCGGGGGGGGGGGGGGTTTGCCCCCCCCCCCATGTTCACAGTTGACTATTTTCAGATAAACTCTTTATTTCTCGGTTGGGGGAAATGATCTAACTCTCGCTGCACCTGATATAGGGACTGGATGTTTGTTCTCTCTCTCTCTCTCTCCTTTTTGCGCTTGATCCAGGGCTTCCGATTTGGGATTGCTGCCTTTGCGGGTATTTGTGCAGAGTCACTGGCCCCTTGAATGACTGACTCTCCACCTCCTCCTCCTTTTTGTATGTGTGTAGAGTGGAGAGGCAGGCTTTGAGCTCTTTGGCTGCATTACCACACTGAAAGAAATACGGGGTGCAGTGAAGGACATGTTCAGAGCGTGATTGTGGGGATTTGGGTGGCAGCTGCTCACAGCTTTGCCCTTAGGGATGTTTTCACCGATCAGCAGCTTCTGAAGCTCCCTCTCAAACCCTGCAGATTGAACTACGGACTGAGAAGGATTTGGAAAGGAGCAGATAGATTTGCTCTGAAACCTGCAGCTCCCTAGCTTGCCTTCCTTTTCTACTTCTGCCCCTCTGGCAAAAGTCTTTGGTAGTGTTAACAAGCTATAAAGGCTGGGGCCCATTACTGAGATTTAGTCCTGCCCAAAGCAACGGTGACTCTCACTGTAAATTGTAGCTTGCCAGAAGAGCTTTTGCATGAGGGGTGGGTGGCAATGCCTGCAGATTGGGTTTAGAGAGAATGTTGGCTTTAAAAGCACAGTTTAAAGCAGGAATTGAAGGAATTCTATAAATGAATGAGAGGACAGGAAGTTGACTTGGCAAGCACTCCAAGCTCTGCACCTCCCTTTCTGTGTTGGAGGCCTCCATTTCCAAATGTGAAGTGCCTGATGTCACCATGTGTTGTTTCCTGTTCAGTGCTGGAATTTTTACATTTTTTATGGCTGCGTTTAAATATCTTAGCTTCCTCTAGTGAGTTATACGAAGGATCTGCAAACGTGAACATGCTCAACTTGCATTACAAACCTAGTTCTTCAGAAGTTTAGCTTATGATTGCTGGATGACTGCAAAAAGAATACATTGATTGGTGTCTTTGGGTGGGATAAGTAGGATGGAGTTCCTGCCCCTGACTCGGACTATACTAGATTAATTTCACCTGTGTATGTACTCCAACTAAGTTAAGGCTCATAGTGGAAGAGAGAAATTAGCCTCCTACTGTTTAAGTTTCTGTTTTGGTGAACCTTTCAGTTGATTGGTAAACCTGATGGAAGTGACACTGTTTTATTTTATTTTTTTAATCTTCCAGGTTGTCCTTTGTATTCCCCTTCAGCCTCTGGGTTCTCTTAGCTTCTCTTTGTCTCTGCACCTCTTCCACTCCTTGATCTGTCCCTGCATAAGGATTAGGCACTACCCGTATTGACAGCCTTCCCTTATAAAAGCTGGACTGTGAATTTATTTCATTGATGAACTGCGCACTCTGAACATCACACCAGTTCAACCAATGAGTGTCCCAGGTTTCATTGCTATGAGGGCAATACAGTATAGATTGTAGAAATGTAACTGTTTTAAATTTGAATGTTTAAACATTCAGTGTTTATTCTTGCACTAATTTAATGAGACTACAGTGTCAATGTAGGATGACAGAACTTAATGCTATGCAAAAGCAATAGTATGAACTGTATACGGGACTTGTTTCAATTCCTGTGTAGCCTGATAATAGGACTTAATGTGGTATTCTACTTTGTATTTTTGATGAGTAGGGAAGGTGACAAAAGAAGCACCTCCTAATGTTCTATATATAAGGGGAGATGAAAGGAAGCTTTGCCTCTGAACCAGTATACTAAATTGAATGAGTATTCTTCCAACTATTCTCCCACACTGTTTCCAGAAAGGGCCTGTTGAGAGCCAGTGTGTTATAGTGGTTAGTGGATTACTGTCTGGGAAACTAGGTTTAAATCCCACTCTGCCTTGGAAATTTGCTGGGTGACCTGGGTCAATCATACTCTCTCAGCCTAACCTACCTTACAGGATTGTTGTGAGGCTAAAGTGGAGAAGAGGAGAAAGATGTAAGCTGCTTTGTGTCGCCAATTGGAGGGAAGGTGGGGTATAAATGAAGTCAGTAAGTAGGGAATTGACCATGTTTGGCTATCCTTGAACTGATAAAATCAACTTGATAGCTATATATACACTCATTGTGTTAATGTAGCGGTCATTTCTGAAGAACTCTTGTTGTGAGATAGTGACTCCTATGGTGCTGCTGTTTTACTATTAAAACTGGAAATAACATTAAACTGTTGAGATGAAACAGCTATGGTGCGAAGCAGTTAACGAGAGCCATAAAACAGTAGAGAAGGGATAGAATGAGGAGAACTTGAGATTGGCAGTAAAATACCAGGCATGCAAACGATTCCTGTTATAAGGAGCAATATTTAAATAGGTGGTTTCTGCTGTGTCAGACTATCTATGAAGCGTCTGTTCTCTTAGCCAGATGTGGGTACAAGAGGGAAACCAAAACAATGAATGGGATGCTACATAGTGGATTGTGTCAACCACTGTGTTTTGGTGGCAGAAAGAGCACTTCTGTCAGTGCAGTAGAAGAACAATTCTTGCTGATTTTTTTCTCTAGCACCCAAGTTCTCTGACTCTTAACTCTAGGGGGTCATTAGGTTGCAGAAAAAGTGGGAGGTGGGAAAGACCTATTTCATAAGCTTTGCTCTGCTAGGCATTTGCTGGATTCAGCCCACTGCTCTTAGTAAATATTCAGTCAATGGTCAGTAAATGACATCAGGAATGGGACTTAAGTATTTAGTTTCCACTGATCATGGAGGTTTGGCTCCCACTCCTGTTCTCCAAGAAAATGAAATTGGAATCTAGTATTCTGGTTGCTTCATTAAAAACTGTACTTGCTGATACATAATTAGTTGTCTTTGGAGGCCTGGTATGAATAATAACTTAAGTATGTGCTGCTGACACCCGCTAGATTTGCTTTTGCAGGTTCTGAAGGGCAGATCAGGAAACCTAGAAGTGAAATGAACTGTCTTAAGAACATATCGTTATGTGTTTTTTATGGCTGTTGATGCAAAATAAAGCATATAGAGCATCTTACATGCTTAACTCCCCTATTCCTTGTAAAGAGATATATGGACAGACACAGTCTTCATGAGTAGGCTGCAAAAATTGTGAATCATTATCTGAATGAAACTATTTGTTGCTTTCTCTGTAGAAACTATTCTCTCAGTTGTGCTGAAACTCTGATATAAAAAATGGCACTGCTGCTATATAACTGAGCTTTCTTCAGTTCCTCTACACACAAGTTTGTGGGAACCAATAACTTGGATTTGATAGCCAGTTAAAGTTCAGCTTAAAATTTCCACTAGGAAATAGTTGTCTTGTTCCTCCGATTCTTTTCTACCTTTTTTTCTTTTTCTTTTGCTTCTCTTCTTTTTTCTGTATTTTGTTTCCTCAGTTTTACTTTCATATATGAAAATGTTAATAAAAAGTAAAAAAAGGAAACAGTTGTCTTGATCATGGTTTGCTGAATCTCTGCTCAGTAACAGACTTTTAAAAATCTGGTGAAGAACTAGAGCTTGCAATGTACTCCCTAAATGAATGCGTATTTGCATGCCTATATTACAGGCAGTAAATAAGCAGCATTAAAATTTGATTAAGCAATTAAAAATCACAGCTGGGAAATCATAGCAGCAAAATAACTCTGCAAAGATGTGATTTCACCAACACCAGAGTGGGGCACAGATCTCAACAGAAAACAGCCTTCCATCAGAAATCACCCCTAACTCATTCAAAAGTAGAATAAATACGTTTGTCTGACATTTATCCTCCCCTTCTTTCAAGGAGCTTAGTGTGATATATCCCTCAATAACCCTTTGAAGTTGGTCTGGGTGGGAATCTGAAACCTGGTTTCCCTGGTCTTAGTCCAGCATTGTATCACCCAACACATGGGATTAATAAATTAAAGTATTCTACAGAACAAATTAAAAATATTGGTTGGGCTTTTTAAGGAAGGGTAATAGAGTAAGAGCAATCCTAAACAGGTCTACTTGAGTTTATTCGGGGGGGGGGGGCTTGCTCCCAAAAAATGTTCTTAGGATCATCCTGTCAGTTTAGTGGATGGAAGACACATTTACAGGTGTTTACAGGTCTGTCATGAGAAAGACTGCAGTAATCATTCTTCCTCTCACTGGGGATTAAACTCCCACCTTCCTGCAAGTCTGATATTAGAATATCAGTGGAATTCTGTGTGTAGCTAACTAGGGGAAGGCTTCCTCAAATGGGAGGGAGGAAGGAATGTTAATTTTAAAAAGTTGTTCAAGTGCATGAGGTTAGATTAATGGCATTTGAGTACATTTTGGTTCTTGAGGTCCTGCAGGCCTTCAGTTTTTCCATATTTCAAAAAATAGGCTTTAGATTTCCTGTGGCACCTGGCACCATCCTGGACAGAGAAGATCCTGCCTCCTGTGATTGAATGAAGAAGCACAGATGGATTACTCCAGCTCTTCAAGTAGAAAACATATTCTTTGGGATATGAATTTCTTCCCTTTAATGTAGTCAATTCTGAGTA